CAGCATTTGACTGAAGAAGCTATGCAGCGGTACTTGGTATTGAAAAGGAGTTATGGTTTTAATAAATCCACAGTGGGCATGTGAAACCAAGGTTCAATTTTAGAAGTTCCATAGTAATATTTGGGTCTGAAATGCTTTGGATAATGAGTAAGTATGTATATGTAAGCAGGAATACCAAACAGCACTTGTTTTTCACTGGAAGTGTGATAATCTTGATTTTCCCATAGAAATCAAGTGCTCTTAATTTACTGTGTTTCTTTCCTTAGCTAAAGCTAAGAATTCTTCTAGGTAGTACTTATTAGTCTATGCTGACTTCCTGTATTGCATAGTTTCACCAGCTTCCTCTTTCTCCAACAAATAGATGCATGCCTTTAAGTTATCTGACCATGCAGACACTGGTGTTCCAAATATGATGGATAAAATGTAAAGAATGACTATTTGAGTCTTTGTTGCTAAGTTGTCAGCTGCCGAAATGGTGGGTGGCATAAGGTGCCTTTGTTAACATACATGTCTGTAGGCACACGGTGCCTTTGCTACCATATTTCCTTAACAGTTTTAATAGTGTGGAAGCTTTATGAAAACTTTCTGCATGAAGGTTGTCACCTCTTCTTCGTTTTGGTCCCCATTTGCAGAGCTGTACCTTCTCTGTTTGCCATTTGATAAATGGAACAGAAAGTACCATTAATTAGACAGGCATTCCTTTAATTTTATTGCTTGTGACCAATTTCAGATCCAGTAACAGACCCAGTAAGAGGTGATGCATTTTTTTGCACCTGGTCCTTGTACTGAGGAGTTACCAGGGTGAAGTGGTAGTCCTACAAAGGTCAGCATAGATAGAAACAGAGCACACAGTTATGGGTTATGTCACACTCCATAGCGGCAATTCAAAACCTAAATGAAATTATAATTAACTGCAGTTAACTGAAAAATTGCCTTTGTAAAATGAAGCTGTTTAATTAAAAGCTTCAACTTTTGATCATATATTCCTAGATCACAGTTTTTCTGTTATTTTATCAGACCTATTTATTCTTGACATTAGAAGAGTTATATTTCTTTTGCTTCCTTCTCAGCAAGCAAATTTACCTAGGCAATAATTCATATTGCAGTTTACTCAATAAACAGAGTGCATTTTGAGAAACACTGCCTTTTAAGAATTGCATCTGATCCAACAAACCAAATTATATAATAATAAAGCATGTCACTGATGTAAACAAATACCAGATGGGTTGTAAAACATCAGTGGAAATAGACTGAGATAAATACTGCTGTGGTGTATTGTCAGTCACTAGTAAAGCTCAAAAAGGGATTCCCACTGCGTGCCTGAATCCTGGAGGGTTCCACCTTCATGTTTGTTTTTCTCTTGCTTTAAGTCTCGCTGTCTTTTAAAAGATTGGATTTTTAGATTGCATTAGATTAGATTTGAGTTTTTTTCCTACTTGCTCCCCATTATTGCACTTTCAGATCCAGTGTTTGGCTGCTTTTCAAAGTGTGACAATGCAAGCCAGCAAGGTTTTGCTAATGGAAATCAGAAGTGTTCCCAGGGAAGGAGTGTGAGCCTGTTGAGGCATGGGCACTGTGGAGTCTGGGATGTTGCTTTCTGTATTTTGGGATGTGGGAGTGGGCTCACCTCTCATGTTGTTTTCCCACCCTGAAGGGATGGATGTTGTTACCTGTACAGACCCAGCTTCCTCCAGGATGGATGTACATGGTGACAGTTGGATTTTTTACTCTTCAGATGTGAATGCTTTCACAACAAGGCTCTTTCAGTTGTGGATAAAGATTCAAGATAAAGTTTGAGATAAAGTTCAAGATAAAGTTTAAAATGTGTTTCCATTATTGATTGATTATAAGGCTTTTTCCACACGGTTAAAATCCAGAGGATGTTGTTCCGTATTTAATATATCTTCTAGTGCTTCTGAAATAAAGTTTTCTAATTGTGTGTTGATTGACATTTTATCTTTAGATACACAATCTAGTGGTGGACTTGGCAGAGTGAGGTTTGTGCTTGGACTCAATGATCTTAAAGGTCATTTCCAACCTAAACAATTCTATGATCTACTTATGTGTTGTATTCTACACTAAGTCAAATTTATAATAATATTAAAATTTAAATCAGCATATCTCATTTACCATTTTGTCAGAAGGGGAGTTAAATATTGTATTTGGAGGATATCCACATTTTTGTGGCTTTACCTGGTTTTCTGTATATGCCACCTAGATCACTTTTTCTTTGTTCATGTGGTAAATTTGAGATTTCTTAGTTCGTGCAAACAGCTTTAAACCTTTTAAATCCTGCCTAATACTTGAACCAAAGTGGCAGAAAATATAGGGGCAGATTTTTTAAAAAAACTTGACTTTCAGGTGGCTCTGTATACTCCAGATGGAGTCTTAATAAAATCTGAACAAGAGAGTGTATTATTCCCAAAATCCAGAATCAATATTCCTGTAACACTCTTCAAAAAGTTTGTTCAAAATACTTCAAACAGTTTAGAAAAAATAGTCAAGTAACACAATGCAGGCAGATTTTCAGCAGATGACATACAGGTACCATGTCTGAATTATGAGCATTCATGGCTCACTCTTTATTATTAGTCAGCTGTAAAATGCAGGTTGGATCATATAAACAGAAATGTTTTGTCACCTTCAAAATGTAGAGATGGATTTTATTGGTAGAGAGGAGATGCAGTCAGGATGGTTGAGCTAAGAAAGATTTGTTGTTTTCTTATGGTTACTAAGAATTTATTTGTGGATCTATCAGCCTATTTGACATCACCAGGGGTGCCAAATTTGAGTTATCTTAGGAGCCGTCTAAAGCACAGGGTGTGCCCATTCAGGTAGAATTTACTTGTGTAAGTACTGAAATGGAGTAGGGTGAATTTAAGCACTCTTTAGGTGTTTTATGTATTAAAAAGTACAACTAATTTATATAGATGAGTTTCTGGCTGCAGACTTTTATTTTCCTTGGTTTTCTTCTAAAGATAACAGAAAAGAGCCACTTCAGATCTGGAGACTTCTCCATTTTCTCTGTGTGGCTTCTGAGAGTCTGACAGAGCCTCTTTGTCAACACTTAATGAACACAGAGTTTTTTAAGTACATGTCTTAAATTTTAAGTGTATTTACTGAAATATTACCAAAATCTTTGCAGAATGTATGAAGTCTAGTTAGCTTCTTCATATTTAATGCAGTAAAATCAAACCTTATCTACATATAGACACTATACACACATATTCCAGAGGCATGCCTAATCTTGATTGCATCCAAAAGTTTTCTTTCTAGAAGCAAATGCCTTCCAGCTGTGGGTATGAATTAGAATTGTGTTGCAGAAAACCAATACCTTATTTACAAGAAGTATACTTTCTTGATTTCTTCTTCTGGGAATTAATTTAAATAAGAAAAACACCTGTCATCTTGTCTGACAGCTGATGACAGCTTTAAGATCACTGAGTGACTAAGATGACAAGCTACCTGTACACATCAACACATCAGGCTTTTATTGCTGTCTTGGGTGTGCAAGAAACTGGTATTAAGTAGTCTTTAACAAGGACTCATCCTGTTTGTCAGTTCTGTGACATGATTTTTATGAAGGAAGGGGTAAAGGCCCACGTCAGCTGAAGATGAGGAGATTGCAGTAGGTATTGCCTGTCTGTGTTCCATGAAGCTTGTCTGCAGAGATGGAAACAGATCAAAGGGCATGGTTTTTTTTTCATCACAATTCCTGATGGAGATTAGGCAAGTTTATATGAAAATTCAAACATTGCTAGTCAGAAACTGATTGTTCAGACTTAGGAAAAAAATTTCTCATGATGAAACACAGCTTTTTTTTTTTTTTTTTCCCTCCTCTTAGATAAGATGAATTATTGTAGCTTTATTACTGTCATGTTTAATTACTGTAACTTTACAACCATGCTCTATTGAATGGGGAAATTACTAAAAGCACTGTGGAAACTTCCCTTGAGTCTGAAACTTGCCTTTCATGTATTCAAAAGTTTGGGGAAATTCACCACTTTGTTTCAGTAAACAAACATTGTATTCTCTAATAGTCTTGAATATATCCTTCAGAAAAGACCTATCATCTATTCTTCATTAACTGGTAAACTAAATAGAAGTGGAATGTGTTGTATTGTCTTTTTAACATTTCTTCAGGAAAATCATGGCAAAATGTGCTTTCTTATAGTGCCCTGCACAATATTTTCCCTTACATTTTTCCAGGTCAAGTTAACAGTAAACAGGCCTATTCCAGCTTCTGTATAGAGCTAATTCTGAACTACAAATTCTCCTATGGCACATTCATATGTTAAGATTAGAGAATATTAAAAATCCCTACATTTTCTCAACATTTTCCCTGGGATTTAGGGTCTTCCTAAACAAACATTAAATACTAAAGGATTAGAAATCATTCAAACAGTGTAATTGGATTCCAGCCCCAAATCTAGATTTGTATTTTTCACTCATGTGCTCAGGTGAAGGACAGGCCGATTTTAGGGAAAAAAAAATGGACAGCCTGAGTTTATCACCAGAAAAACAGCCACAGAAATATTACTCTCTATGATTTTTCTCATGCCTCCATGGAGAGACTTGGGCAGAAGCTGCAAATGCAGTTTCTTGCTACTCCTTATTTAATATATGAATCTTGACCATATGCTCTGAGTGGGTTTGAAATCACTTAGTTTTGATTTTTTGTTTATGTTTGTTATTATGCAGTAATCCATAGCACTGAAAACATGTTCTTAAGAAAACAGTGCAGTAGGTAATTAGTGGGAGAAATATTTCAAAACAGTATTTTTAATATGTTGCTTAATCTATGTGGTGACTAGCATATTTATTTGATTTTTAATGCATTTTCATTGTTTACCCATATTTGCCTCATCATTTCATGTTGCCAATAGGTGGTCAATGTTACTATTTTGCATTTAATGAAATTTTAATGGGATTTGAATGTTATATATTTTTATATTTTTCTAGTTTTATTAATATAAGTATTTCCTTTTTTTCTCCTCTAGAAAGGTCCTAAAGGAAATCTCTGTAGGAAACCTAAAGCCTAATGAAACAGTTGAAGCAAATCTGGAAGCACAACTACTCTCCAAATTAGACCATCCAGCCATTGTCAAATTTTATGCAAGCTTTGTGGAGCGAGATAGTTTCTGCATTATCACTGAGTATTGTGAGGTGAGACTGAAGAAATGTGAAAACATGTGTGTATTAAAATAGAGTCTTCTAAGAAGCCATTTTATAAAATATTTTACTTTGAATTTTAGTCTTTATTTATTCCTTGTGGCATCACGTGCTACTTGTTAGGTGTGTTCCTTTCAGATAAGGAATGTTACCTGCTCAGATGAGACTCATTGACAAATAAACCACAGGAGAAGAAATAGGTAATTTTATGTGCAAGTTCTTCTGTTTTTACAAGGGCTACAAGAAAGACTTAAATGCAGCCATGCTGCCAGATCTGTGGGAGATCTCAGAAAAGTTGTACCACTTGTGTGTGATAGGTGAGAGAGGAGGAGACTGTGGGCATGGGGGCACGAAATAAAATCTGATATAAATGAGGAAGGGAAAACTCGCTTGTGGTTTGGAGGTGATTGCAAGAAGCTTAAGCCTGATCACATGGATGATGAGTTTGGCAGCAACATTGGCTTTATAAAATTAAAATCAGTGGGAGTCAAAGACCAGAGTGTAGTGGATACAAATATTAAAGCAGGATTTTCTACAATATAGTTACCATTAATTTTTTCACTCCAGCATTTGGTTTAAGAACATTTTGCTGGAATCTGTTGTAAAGCTTTCAAATAAGAATTTAAGCATATTTAAGCCAGTTTTTAGTAGTTTATATAAAACAAGCGCCTACTTTGTATTAAATATAAATGTGCTCTTTCAAAAAAAATCTGTCATACATAAAGTGATCTTTTTATGAAACTGTGAAGCAAACTCTTCAGTTGTGCTCTGCTAGACATGCTGAAAAGCTGTGGAAGATAATGAACTTAGACTACTGGGTTACCTGAACACAAATCAGATTTGACTTCACTAATCACACTTCTTCAAGATTTTAGCTTTCATGGGAATAATTAAACAAGTACCATTCCTGTCATTTGTTTCTTCCTTGGAAGCTTTCTTTAATGATAGTTAAATGCATATTTATTACTGGGATATTTAAAAATTAAATCTGAAATGTTCAGTTCTGTGATACAATCTGAGTATTTGTTCATGTATTATTTTAACACATGCAGAAGCTTTTTGTGCCACTCCCTGTATGTCTGACAGCTGGAGTTTGAGAATATTGTCAGCTCTTTGAGGAAATCCAGAGCTCAGGACTGAAGGATTATTCTAACTGTCCAGCTATTCTCATGCACTTACAGTTTTCTCTCTACTAGCAGTACAAAATGACCCAATACCAGATCAATTAAAGATGTAGGAATAAAGGAACCTATTTCAGCAGCACTATAGTGCTTTTTCTCTGTCCACTGCTTTTCACTTTTTACTCTTTTTTTTTTTCATTTAGCAAAAAGTTATAGGTGTGAATAAAAAAGAGCATGTGATAGAGTAATCACAAGCATCACTTCTTGGAGCTTTGGGGTTTTTTTATGCAGGCAATATAAACTACCTTGCATGACAGTGTTTTGGTACAGAGTTACCCTAAGATTTGGGAGTCACATCCTCAAGCAGGTGAGAATGTATTACAGCAAGGCAGGTAAAGGAAGAGAAAATGTATTAATTGGCTATGCACTGAATCTTTTCAGTTTTGAGTCTGCTAGGTGAGGTCAGGATGACACCTGGCCCAATAGGATGTGCTTCTGACTTTTCCCCAAAGGACAGGTTCCGTGGTATCATTGCATTTATGCCATTACAACATATTTCATCGAATGCTCAGTACAAAGCAAAGTTGCACACGGTGGTACAAAGTTTCTTTTCTATTTCCAGAGTATTTCCAGAAGGTATACTTTTGTATTTACTTATCTATAACCTGCCTTTGAATGTAGTGGGATTTGGGTGTTTTGACCTAAAAGATGCCAGTTTAAACCATCCATAAACTGAGAATGAGAAAAATGTCATGCTACCTGATCCTTGCTTGGAAGTCTAGTACGTTCCGTCTCTCATGCAAAGAATAATTACCAGATTGGCAGTAATTGCTACTCTTGGGCAGGCTCAAAACAAAGAGCACACATTAAGTTGGCATGGAAACAGAACTACCCCCCTGAGCTCTATTCTGTTCTCTCCAAAGTACTGTGACTTATTAATTAGCCACGGTGCTTTGTTCATTCTGGCATGAGTAGCATGGAGTGAGCCTCCAGTGCAGCTGCCCCGTGCTATACCTTGTCCTGTGAAAGAAAACCAGTGACATTGGTCTCCATGGCTCAGCTTACATCTTTTATTACAACTGAATTCAAAATTATAGAAAAGTATATTTGTTCTCTTTTGATCTTACTTGTTGAGCTTCTTAGACACTTTCCCCAAATGAAAATCTTATGGGTAGTATAAACATTATCAGCTAAGACTGGTTTCAAACAAAAATTCCTTAATGAACCTTGGATTTCATTTTATCGTACAAATTTGACTTCAATAATATACAGTTTTCACAAAGCAGTTACTTTTAAAATTGCATCATTTTAATGTATTATAAAGCAGAACTCCTTGTACTTTTCCCCCAGGCAATTATTTATGTCCCTTGACTGCGGTCTCAGCTGTGATGTGAGTACACATATGCTAAGGAAATCTGAGCAAAAGGAATAACTAAAGCAGTCAATGCCTGTTCACGTTATCAGCTCTAGATGCTAAGCTGTTTTAGATAATTTACTGGTGTGTTTGATACTCTGATATTTAAATAGAAACTGCAGCTTGGAAACTCCATATGTACTTAATTTGTTAAATTGTTGAATTCCTTATGAACTTTGTTAGACTGACCTTCCAAAATGTGAAATTGGGTTAAAAATTTTTTTTTCAGAGTTTCACAGCAGCAGTACTTCAGCAAATCTTTTATGATGTGTTTTTGTTTATGATGTGTTTTTTGTTTTTAGACAAAAAATCAAGGGTAAATTAATTGTAGGACATTGAGACCACTCTTCTCTGCTTGAAGATAAAAAGCTATGCAGTTATGTGAGGGCACATGTAGCGCATTATCCAACTGCTTTTGTTCTCCTTAGACCTTTTGCAGGAATTGCCCCCCAGCTTCAGAGTATTCACTACCACAACTCTGTAGGTGCTGCACTTATTTTTCTTTGTGTTTTTCATGGCTATGTATTATTGTGAGAGGGGACACATTGGGTCAGGGTGATTGGAGCCTGATGCACTTCATTTGTCCTCACCTGGATAGTCCACAGTCCCCTGAGGCCAGCAGCCAGCTGACACATGTTTGAGCACCCCCTCAGTCCTGGGCTCTGGATGGTTTGGGGCTTCTGTCTGGAACAGTTTCTTTTATAATAATGACTCATTGTTTTCAAGGTGCATGAGTAGACTGAGCCACAGCCCATCTGGCTGCCATGCAATGGAGTACCCAGCAAGAATTTTTCTTTCTTTCTTTCCTCTTCTCTGCTGTAAGCAACCAGAGGGAAGCTGCTGAACATTTGGAGTTGCAATGGGGATGCAGCTGCTGAGAGTTCCAAGTTCCCAGAAGAGCTTCTCTCTGGGCTGCAGTAGGGCAGCAGATGGAGAGCTGAACCCATATTCCCTTCCCTAGTGTATGAGATGATTCAGACATTTCAATTAAAAAGTTGCAGGACATTGTCAGGGAATGCATTTTTGATAGATGACAAAACAGATTTGCTTTGTTTTAACACACTTAGTTTGGAATGTTGTAACTTAGAAATCCATAGAAATTACTGTAAACTCACGTCAGAAGCACAAGAATATATAGATCTGCAAGGACAGAATGTGCTTATTTTGTAGCAGCACTAGAAAGCACTGGTGTTTGGAAAAGAAAACTAAGAAATGCTGAAGACATCAGAAAATGGTGAGAGTCAACAGTGCAGAGGAATACAGGGATAATGATGGGAAATGATGGTACTGTACAGTTGTACTGGCAAAATGGTTTCTTGTATATGGCACATAAAGCTTCTGATTTTATGTGGAATGTATAATGTAAAAATAATGATTTATGGCTAATAAGCTGTCCTGATATAAGGTAATTAGTGACTAGAATGTAATCAGAGTCACAGTCCCTTTGCTCTGGGGTTAGCTACCTCAACACATTGCTTACCATTAATGTGTGTGCATTCTTGTAGACAAAATTAATTTATTTTATAAACTGGATAAACAATCAGCTGATAACCACTTGTATTTTTTTGAGCAAAAATAATTAGTTTCCTGGAAGTCTCAATGTCCTCTTTCATTGTGTTGTTGTACAACTGGTATTTGCAAATATCTGGATTACAGTTTTCAAGTAGTCTTTTTCTGGATATATTTTCTGGTTTATTGGCACTCCCTGCTGTGTGTCCTATTGTTCCATTCTTAGTGCTACTTCAAGATCAGTTATTATTTTAATGAAGTATCACAATAACACATGCTACGTATTCTTGAGGTTTTAAATCTGCTTTGTTTCTGGCAAAAGTTTGAAAGAGGGCAAAGTATCATGACTAAAGAGACTGTATTTTAATTCTTAAGAGGACATGGTTGCTTTGACATGGTTATTATAACATAATAAATGAATGCCACTTGAGTATGCAATGTTTGACTGGAGTGGAAATGCTTTTCTCAAATTTATTAACTTATTCAGACCAGTCACAGCAGATTATTTTTACCTAAGTGTCTATGTCACAGCCTGTCAGTGTAGGCCCTCATCATAAATCTCTGCAGAGAAACTGTATTCCTACAATGGGATCCATCCCTTCCAAAGGCAGACAACTAGATGACTGAGAGAATTGCACTAAACAGGTGCGTGTTCCTTTGTGTTGCCTGTAAGGTTTGGGCTGACCTGCTCAGATGCTGAAGTTGGCTGACATGAAGGAAGAACAGTTGGAAACTTTGGTGATCTTGTGTAACACTAAGAGAAAACAACAAAGCCAGACTGGTTGATACCATTTTGATCCTCACTTGTTTATGCTTTTGGTGCTGGGAGATTTCTGAATTCATGTGCACATACTGATTTTACAGACCTACATGATAGGATGCCTGGAGGTCTAAGGAAGTGGGGTTCTGTACTATGATGAAGGAGATAGCATTTTGAAAACTTACCTTAAATGTACAAATATGTTGTGTTATTTTTCAGGGTGGAGATCTAGACTTTAAAATTCAAGAGTACAAAGATTCTGGGAAGATGTTCACTCAAAGTCAAGTAATAGACTGGTTTATACAGTTGTTACTTGGAGTCAACTATATGCATGAAAGGTACAGTCATTTGATATGAGAGTATTTAGCTTGGGAGGGGAGTGAATGGACTTACTGACTAGTTGGAGGTATTCAAACAGAAATGAAAGTTCTGTTCACCAAACACTGTAGTTAGTTTATGTCTGATACCTCAAGTGTAATTAATTATCTACCCTGCAGGAACATTATGCATTACACCTTTTAGCAGGACAATGGTAAATGTCTTCCAGCATTTAGACACACTTTTTTTCAGAGCCAAATGAAAAATGGAGCACAGTAGAAATAGTTCAATATTGTTAGAAGACAATGGATTAAAAGTTTAAACAAATCACAAAACCAAAGTTATCTTTTTAAAGGGGAGTCAAGAAGCCCATCCTGCACATATTTAATGTGAACCATCCAATGGATATGCTTGAATAAGTCCAAGTAAAATCAGTGGAGTTGCATACATGCATTCTTTGAGAAGAGATGTCACTTTTGACAGCACATCAAAGATTAACTCAAAAAATTACTGCAGGTCATCCAGACATGAGGAGATCACACACAGTTGGAGCAGGGGTAATGTGCATAGATGAATATCCATCTGGTCATCTCCATGAGTTTAGCTCTTGCTTGCAGTGTGATTTAGGCAGGCTGACTGCAGTGATGGAAAGATTGCCCTTTGTCATTTTCCTTATTGTCAGTGTGCTGGACATGTACAATGCCTGTTTGGTCCCTTTCTGCGTCATCCTTTGCAAAGATTGGGAAAAATTTGCTTGCCTGAATTTTAGGTGCAACCAAGCAGTAGGTAGAGAGGTCACCTGTTGTCAAGAGCAACTGGTCCTGAGTTGAACTGGAGTTAAGTGTGTGGGATGTATTTGACCTAAACTGATGGATGCCTAATGAGTTTTTTGCCAGTGTCAGACTGTAGAGGGAGAAGGGCAGAGTGAATTGCTGTCCAAGATGCAAGAGCATTTTTGTTCCTAAATGCCAATTTATGTAGGGCTTGCACATGAAATGCTGCCCTGCCAGTGATGGGAGGACACAAAGAGAACTCTCTTGGGTTGCTATGCTGTTCAGCATTCATCTCGGACCAAAAGGACAGAGGGAAATGGAAAAAAAAAATCCTGACAATTTAACTAAATCACACTTAACCCCAAATCAGTGTGATTTGGGTTTTTTTCTCCCTTGAACTTCAATTTATCAACTTTTCATTAAAAGTTTTGGTGCCCTGGAAAGTCCCCTTTTGGCAAAATCCTTTCCTTAACATATGTGTTTAGAAGATGCATTGTGCAGAATAATAATATAAACATTGCATTTGGACTGATGGTCTTTGTAGGCCACTTCCAATTGAGCTACTTAATTTTATTCTGTGAGTTACTATTTTTGTCTTTCATTTTCTGTATTTTCTTATTCCTCTTTTATCTCCTCTCTTTCTTTTCCTTATCTTCTACTTGTTCTCAAATAAAATCCTGAAAAGAAACTTTATTTGGTAAATATATATAACATTTGATTTCCTAAGAAGTCAGTTAGTTCTCCAATTAAAGCAATTTGATTTTCCAAACAGGATTTTATTTTCTTCTTTTCAATCATAGCTAATAGTACCTCTCCAGACACTTACAAATAACTTGACAGTTTTAATTTATATATATTTATTTGTATTTTCTATTATTTGGCTCTATGTATATAACTTATTTCTTATACAGAGTCAAACAGTAGCTTAAATGGAAAAGTTTAGGCTTAAAAGAATTTAAAACTACCTACAGAAATGTGAAATACTAAACCATAATAACAGCCCTCTGTTTCTTTATACAGGAGTCATGCATGATTTCTTCTCTACTGACATGGGAAAAACTCTAATATATATTTGAATTGCGTTCTAATGCAAAGAAAGCTTTTCCCTAGAATTGGAAGCTTGAAGTGTTTACAGCCTGTGGGTTGGTCCTTCCCCATGCCATTCCTAAGAAAACTCAGATTGTGTGGATGTGAAGTTCATTTATTTATTTATTTATTTTTTCCCCCCAGAGCAGCAAAAATTACTATTTAGGGTTTTAAACATAGACTATTCACTTGATTCACTTGTCTTTCTTGCACAACTTTAGTTCCACACTTTTTGAAAACTCCTATGCTGGAAACTTAATGTAATTTTTTTTATTTGAAACTTGAAAACAAAGTTATCTAGAAATAAATAGATTCAATCCTTATCTGTCGTTGATATAAAGAAAGGGAGAAGTTAAAGACAGATAACACAGTTCAGTGGTCTTATCTCAATGGAGACCTTTAGCATGAAACCATCCTGTAGTGTCTCGTAGTACACACAGCCCATTGCATGTCAGTGCACAAAATTAATGCCACAGAAATTAGGCAATGAGGCCAGTGATTAATTTAACCTCAATTTGAATAAGGTTGGCCATTCTGTTACCCATCATTTTGCTAACCTTTATGAAGAATTTATGAACACAGATTTTTATAAAGTTACTCTTTATGCAAACAGCAGATAATGCAGGGTTCAGGCTTACACAGAGCCTCTTACTCTTCTGCAGAGTTCTTCAGATAGAGGAAAAGAAATTAATTGTGCATGATTTCACGGCAGTGATGTACTTCAGCTTCCCTCAGCTTCACTTGCAGCTCATTCTGTTGCAGGCAAAGCTTCATTCAAGGAGGCTGCCCACTGCTCAGGGCTTGTCCTGTTCTTTTGTGACTTTGAGCCAGCAAGCAGGTACTCTACAGAGCACAGATATGGGTATATTTACAGCCCAGATTTGAAACTGTCCTCAAGTGTTAATTTCTACCCAAAATAACTACTCAATAACTGCTTCACTGTCCATCAAGTAAAGTTCTGCTGGAGCCCGGTTAATTCATGTTGCCTTTATAGGTCTGTCTTTTCCTACAATAAAAAAGTTGCTCTTTCTTTAAGTGGATTCTTTAAGTGGATTTACAGTGCAGGCTTGATATTAATTTCTTCCTAGTATTAAAGAATTCTTTTCAAGTAAGATTTCAGCTGGCACCTTGTTTATCTTCAGATATATCATAGCAGAATAAGTTGCATTGCAGTGAGAGATATCATCATGGAAAGCTGAAAAAATCATCCCAAATATTTGAAATATATGAAAGCATCTTATAATTTTTGGTAATGCAAATAAAATACATAACATTTTCATCAATATGTTGCAAGATTGCAAAAGCATTACATTGTAATTCAAACTAATGTGACCCAAACATTTTTTTTCATCTCCTTTTCAAATAATATGCTATTGAAAGCTTTCTGGATCATTCTTTTACTTCAATATACCTGTTATTACAATGATAGGTATTCAGGAAAGTTTTAGGTTCAAAAATTCTGTGGTTATATTTCTAAAAAGGAATACTGTTAAAAGAAGGTTGAAATCCACCAATTTTCAGCAACAATGTGCAAGAATAATTTAAGTCAGTGAAAGCAAGTTCTTTTAAAGGCTCTGTGTGATGAATGGTAAGGAAAGTCCTTATGAATCTCAATTAACACAGCAAGACTTCTGTAAAAGTGTGTGTGTATGTATATGTACAGACGTATATATACTTATGAAAGATTAACAAATATCACCTTAGTTTAATTTCCTTACTGATGTATTGTATGAGTGTGTGTGTGTTGTTCAGAGAAGTCAAATAGAGAAGAAATTATTTATAAACAATATTTTATAAATATGGGTGGAGGAATATGGAATAAAAATTTCATTTTTCCCAATGTGCAAACCTTTTTCTAATGAAAGGTATTACTTGCAGGACAAAAAAATTGAAAGAAAAAGAAGTGAAAAAAGTTTGCTATAAGAAACACGAAGAAGTCTTTGCCCATAAAAATAGAAATTTTTTTCATGCCCAGTCTGTGTACATACTGCAATGAAGCCTAGTATTATTTTTCATGCTTTTTCTTTTTCCATTTGTGAACTGAGTATATTAAATTGCATATTTTTTTCTCCTACTGCAAAAAATATTTTCAAATGAGTTGTGGACAGAATTAGGTATTTAAATTGTGCTGTAGAATGCATCTTTTCTAATATAGAAACTATTAATATAGAAACTATTTTGGAAATAATTTGATTATGTCAATGCTTAAGACTTATAATTCAAATTTGAGATAATACTTGAGGATTGCTCAGAAATTTGAAATTGAGTACCCTCAATTGCCCTCAAAAATCATAGAGCATTAGTTTCTTTCTTTACGTGATCCAAATGGCTGAATGACTGCTGTATTTGCATTAGGAAAGACAGTTTCTGTAGCCAGTATGTACCAAATGCTATTTTAACCTCCTCCTGAGCAGAGCTGATGACTAATCCTGTGCATTAATAATCATTTCAAAAGTGGACGAATTCTAGTTTTGTATGAGGTTATAGGCAGCAATGCTTTTGGAAGCTTTATTAACAAGAATTAATTTAGAATATGTTTTGTATACCACAGAGATAATTTGCTTTCCTAAGGGGCTGCAGAATTACTGTCACACATGTAAGACCTATAGAAATTAAGAAGATTCTGTATGTCCTTACATGGTGTGTAGGTTATAATGTTTTTTTTTTTCAAACTCTGATGGAAAAATAAGTCTATAAAAGCTAATTGTTCTGTTCCTTTCCCTTTTAATATTTGGTTTTGTCAAGTTCTTTCATCTTCCACGCTGTTACTGTAAAAAATTGAGCTATTAGCTTAGGCTATATACATATTTGTCTTTGAAGTAATACGTTTGCTCCGTAGGAGTCTTCCCTTAGCTTTGAGAAGCTGTTATTGCTGTTTCTCTCATCCGTTATTCTCTTGTGAGGCATCTCATTCTCCTGGCAGAAAATAAGATCTAATGCTCTTAAAATGAGTCAGATAGGAAGACTTGCCTTTCTCCCTTCCTCTGCAGCTCACGCTATGTCTGTATCTGTATTCTTCAGCTGGGATCCCCAGATATATTTTTATTATCCTGATTAGGCTCTTACCCTGCATGGGGGTGCCTGTGAATGCACCTCTGTGAAGTTCCTTAATGCCATTGTCCATGGATTGTCACTGGCAGAGTTAGACTCTAGCAGTTGTGGGCTAGCCTGAAAAGGGCTGAAGTTAAATACCTGAAATACTGAATACATGACTCTCAATAATTCCAGCTGAGTGAGGTTGAATTTCCTGTTCTATTCCAGACGGATACTTCACAGGGATTTGAAAGCCAAGAATATATTTTTGAAAGATAATCTTCTTAAAATTGGTGAGATTTCCATACTTTTTAAAGATATATTTTCATGTGATAGAACAGTCCAGCAGACGTTTTGTCAATAATGAGATTTAAAGAAAATCATGTCTGAAATAGCATTTTGATTTGTAGTCAAACATTGATTTGACAGTCAGACACAGGAGAGTCAGTGAAATCTCTAGCCTTGAGAATGCTTCCAGCTTGGCTGGATCTGGACCTGAGCAGCCCCATTTAACTTTGAGCCAGGGGTGTGAATCAGATGACCTTGTGAAGCCTCTTCAAACCCACATTGTTCTGTGATATTATGCTTCTGTGGTGCTTTTATTTTGAAGAATTACAGAAAATAGTTTTTCCCATTGTTTTAAATACTAGCAGAATTTTCTGGATGTACAGTCACTTTATCATGTCTGACAATAAAAAAAATTATGAATACATACATGTTTATATGAATAGTTTATTGTTTCTACCGATATTTTTAGGAGACTTTGGGGTTTCTTGTCTTTTGATGGGTTCATGTGATCTTGCAACTACTTTTACTGGGACACCATACTACATGAGTCCAGAAGTACTGAAGCACCAGGGATATAATACAAAATCTGACATTTGGTGAGTAGTCATAATGCTATTTTGCTTGGATTAGGAATTTATCTCCACTAAAACTATTTCAGAACATTAGGATCAAATGTTGTGATCTGAAGCCTTCCCCTTTTTGTTAAGAAGCATATAGTTGGCTTTTATTCTGGGTTATCTGAGACTTTAAAGGAGAATAAGATTCAGGTCTATTCTCTGATGTGATACAGGATGACTGTAGACAAAGTTCAGGTATTTCTAGGAAGGGGAAATATCTTTTTTTCTTGAATTTAGATGAATTGAAAGAAGCAACTTTCTGTGAAACTTCAGGTGGATGAGTAAAGAGTGATTCTGGCTGAGAGGATAGCAGAAGGACCTTCTTAGGGACTAAATTTAAGAACATTAGCTAATGTTAAAAGCAAGGAAGTATTTGGAAGTGGAGCTAAAATGAGAATAACTGGTGTTAGAACAGAAACAAAAAGGCACTGTTTTAGAAAAGGCTCAAAGGTAGAAAGAAAAGTATTAGTTCTGCATATAGATGGCACAAATTCTCGAATCAGAACTTCTGGGGTGATGATTAAAGGATCAAGTTTAGGAGCTGAGGTCTGTTGAAAGAATTTAGGAATCTTCTAGATGCACAGGTACTCTTCCAATTCTTCTAAGACTAAGAATGATTTTTTTGGAATGGCAAAAATATCTGGCTTGTTTATATGTGTGTCCTAAAGCATCTCATGTTTTAAGATTATAGTTAAAACTGTTGAGTTTTCAAATTTTGTTATAGTGTTTGTGTTGTTTTTTTTGTTTTTTTTTTCCCCTGTGGGTATGTATATCAGAAGATTAATTTTTTTAATAAATATTTCAAACCAGGGAAGTTCCTTTGTAAAACATTTGGCCCCTGTAATATAGTTTGATTGCTTGATAATTTACTCTAGCTTTATCTCAGTTCTGCCTTTTCAAAATAAAATTGTGGCTGCAGGATATAATTCTAGAAGTGGAGAACAGTCATCTATATTTTCAAGTGGTAACAACCATTTTTCACAGTTGACATATTCAGTCCAGTCAATGGATATGTCAGGAATCTCATCTCATGGCCTTTGTAGCCAACTGCTATGGATTTAATGTCAGATTCTCTCTTGCTCATCTGTAGCAAATATCAGTTAATACATGTAGTCAATAAAAATATATTGGGAGAATATTTCAAAAGATGTCAAAACAAATGAATAGACAGGGAAGCCCGCCTTTTGTGCTCTTGTACTGTAAGGAATAATTTCTTTTATTGCAGTGCAAATAGAAAGTAAAATACATGTTTAAGTTCTATTTGTGGTTACTAGTATCAATCCATATAGATAATTGAAGTTGTATAGAGTAAGCATAATCAGAGTTTGGTCCAATACTTTTATAAATCCTGTGTTGATCACACTCAAAATTCACAAAAGCACAGAAAGAGCCCTCCATCCCAAACTCAGTAGCTACCAGCTTTCTGCTATACTTTCTGCCTTCTGTGATCTTTCCAAAGCATTATAAAGAGCACTCACGTAAGGATGAAACTGCCTTCAGCAGGAGCTTCTTGGCCCACACTGTAGGAGCCCTGAGGAGGAGGTGTGCCCTGACTCAGAACTTCCCCAGCCCACAAACCCCTTTTTTTAAGCCACAAAACTGTTTCAATCAGGACTCATGTTTGATTGATACTCTTGTCTTTTAATCTTTTAATAATGATTCTGTTTGGTGTTTTTCCTCTGTCCCCATTTAACAGGGGCCAAAAGACAAGAGGACACTGAGCTTACAGGGGAGTCCACCCTGGAGGCTCCAGGTGAGATTAAATCCTTGGACCACTGTGCAGGAGGTTCTGTTGCTCATGAAGGATCAAAGACTCATAGAATGCTTTGGGTTGGAAAGGCTCTTAAAGATCATCTCGTTCCAACTCCCCTGCTGGGAGCAGGGACACCTTCCACTAGATGAGGCTGCTCAAAGCCCCATCCAGCCTAGCCTTGAACTCTCTTTCAGTTTGAAGTTGTTACCCCTTGTCCTATGATTACCCACCTTTGTAAAAAGTCTCTCTCTGGCCCTCTCTGGCTATCACTTCATGTGCTGCAAGGTGCTCAGAGGTCTCCCAAGAGACTTCTATTCTCCAGGCTGAACAGGCCCAACTCTCTCAGCCTGAATCCATGGAAGGGGTGTTACAGCCCTCAGATCATCTTTGTGTACCTCCTCAGGACTTGCCTCAACAGGTCTGCATCCTTCTCGTCTTGAGGGCCCACAGCTGGGTGCAGTACTCCATGTGGGCTCTCAAAATAGTGGAGCAGAGGGAAAAATCTCCTTCCTCAGCCTGCTGGTCACGCTGCTTCTGATGCAGCCTAGGATGTGGTTGGCTTTCTGGCCTCTCAGCACACATTGCCAAGTCATGTTGAGTTCTTCATCAAGCAACATCCCCCATGTCCTTCTCTTCAGGCTTGCTTTTCCATTCTCTGCCCAGTCTTTATTTGTGACCTAAGTGCAGACCCTTGCAATTTGCCTTGTACTCCATAAGGCTGGTACAAGTCCACCTCTCAAGTCTGCCAAGGTCCCTCTGGGTGAGGGCTGGAAGCCCTTCCTTCCAGCATGTTGACCATACCATGCAGCTTGTCAGCAAACTTGCTGAAGATAGATACACTCAGTCCCTCTGTCCATGTTGCTGACAGAGATGTTAAACAGCACAGTTTTTGACCCCTGAGGACTTCCAAAGAGTTGCCCAGTCTTTTATATGTAGCTGAAGTGGCATTCTCTCTTCAGACTTGTCTTTCTGATCTCCAGCAGGACTCAAAAATTCTCACAAAAATTCAGACTTACAAGTGTTCCCATGTTAAGCATAAGATATTGTAAAATATCTTCTGGAAAAGACAGTAGTGCTATCTCACCTTGTTATCGTGATCCTCTCACTGTTCAGTTCAGTTCATTGGAAAGACCTTACTTTCTGCTGCATTACTGATGTGCTCTAAAGACACACTGTACTTTTCAGGTTCACTGAAATGTTCTGCAAATGGCTTTTCAAAACTGGCTTGAATATTCACAGTGCAGCAGCTGGTGCAAGAAGTATTGTCTTTTATAGACCAAGGTCAATAGATGGGGGAAAAGCTTCATGTTTTGCAGTTTTTCTCCATGGATGTTCTGCAGTTGGGCTCAGAGAAATGGCAGCATTTATGTTTTTCTTCAGTTGAAATGTCAGGGCTGGAGTTCTTTGCCATTCCATGCTTTTTGTCAAATCTAAATTCACAGGAGGCAAATTAAAGTTTTCCCCAGCATCCCTGAGCCTGGACTGGCTGGGCCATGAGAGAAAACCTTTGCAGGTGACACAGTCTGAGGTTTCCTCCTTTCCAGACAAGGAGCTTCTTCAGGGATCTGATCTCAGTTTGCCAGAACACCACCCCTTCTTTTCATCAGTGCTTCCCACTGTAGATCTGGCAGACGGAGCAGAGCTGGAGCAGTGTCGGCAGCTGAGCCGAGACCGACCCCTGACCCCAGAGGCCAGGCGGGGTCAGGGGTCGGTCACTGGTGTGTGTGTGTGTGTGTGTCACTGGTAGTCCAGTCCAGCTGCTGTCCTGGTGTCCCTTCCTGCCCTCACACACCCTGTGGTGACACTGGTGTTGTTGGGGCTCGGCCGACATTCCCATGCCTCCAGTGCTATGGCAGAGACAAAGCGATGTCACAATCACATGGAAATCCATTGTACTCCATCTTCCATCAAGTACTGTCAGATTTTGACAGATTATTTGTCTGTTGTGTTTGGGTAAATTGGGCTGCCCACACCACAGATCTTGAAGCTTTCATTTTATTGTTCTTGCTGGTCTCGTGCTTTCCCCCACTTTGTCTTTAATATTAACAATCAAAAAATGAAGCAATGTGAAGGCTGAGGGGATGAGGCTGGGGAAGACAGCAGCAGGGAGTTCTCATTTAAGGGCTGATGAGTGAGTATAGAGGAAATTAAATTCAGAGATATATATTCCTCACAGACTGTGAAGCCAAAGAATTCTTAAGGCCTTCTGATATGATCAGACTAAGAGATATAAGCCTTAAAGGTATGTGCATTTACGTTATCTGATTTTTGAAGTTGAATTTAAAGCTAACTTGGATCTTACAACCTTTGAAGAACTGTAACGTTCTTTACAAAAGATCAGAAGACGTTAAAAGGATGACAATATTTATTATATTAAGCATATAAATTTTGAGGTTTATATGCTTATTATATTAAGCATATAAACCTCAAAAAAACCTCTGGGTAGTTTCTCCTAAGAAGGAGCAGTTAGAGGTCTGTCAGTTGAGACTGGGGAGAACACACTGAAGCCTGTCCAGATGCTCTATTTTATGATGTAATTGAGCATAAGTAGCTTCAACACGAACTTGTCATGCCACAATTTTTCTGAAATTATGTGCTCTTTGGGAACTTTGTCAAACCCATTAGTGAATATAGGGAGTTGTCAAAGCAAATGTGCTGGCTGGCTAGTTTAATGACCATTTTAGAATTTTAGAAAATCGGCACTTATGCAGGCTAAGATTATAAAAGTAATTAAATTATATGTTTGGATCATGTGCGGATTGCTTATGGGAATTGGGAAGCAATTTTCTCCTGCTCCTCACAAGGTGCTTAGAGCAGAAATATTGAAACACAACTGAGAAATGCAGTTTTGAGGCAAAAGCTTGTCTGTTATTTCTTTGGGTGTTTGCAGCTCAGCAGCTCTCTTGGGAAGAAATAGCCTTGTTCAGGAACCCAGGGCAGTATTTCTCAGCTTAGGAGATATTTATTTAATTTCAAATATCTCAATCCTGCAGAAAGAAACTTTATTCTTTTTCCTTCATTTTTCTTTACTTTTTTTCCCTGTTTTTTTTTTTCTTTCATGGGACAGATGGGATTTTCCCTGGGTAGCCTGTTCACAGCCCTGGCTGCAGCAGAATGCCCTGGGCATTCTTTTCATCTTTCTCCACCTCAGGTGTAGTCAGAGTACTAAACTAGATGAATAAATCAGCTTCCCTGATGTGTCAAATCCTATGTTCCTAATGGCTCATTAAACAATTTCTAGCTGCCAGAGTCAAGCAGCTTCCAAAACATATTGATTCTGCAAAAATAAGTTATAATACAGTCTGTCAGGTTGGGAATTTCCTTCTTTTTTTCTTCTCTCTGGCTGATTTCCATTTTTTTTTGGTGCTTTCAGATGCTGTGTGCTTAGGATTTTTTGGGGTTTTTTTTTTTTTTTGTTCTTTTTGCTTTAAGTATTTTCTCATGTAGTAATTATCTTGTTTCAGAGTCTGAACATACATCATAAGTAGAGATTATCATCTGTGTCTTACTGTTCACTGATTTTGAAATTTTGAAAGCTGTTTGACAGTTAAATCTTTAAAAAACCTAGGCAACCATTTATTTACCTCAGCAGTTGTTCTTTAGTTGGTTCTTAGCAAAAATGGTCTGCTAATAGTTTTCACATACTTGCTTGAAAGATATCAGTGAGTGGAGTTCCCCCCCCCCCCACCCCCAACATTCTCTTCTTATTTGCACTGAATGTAGGGCCTGGGTTTCAGCTTTGAAATTATTTGCTCTTCTTCTTTTATTGCCAGATGGACCAAAAAACCTCCTCTTCTTTAACCAAAATGAATAATTGAAACTTTATTCATTATTTACTTCCAAAGATTTTTATACCGATTTCCTGAAATCCATTCTCCCATACATATTTCTTATCATTATGCTTTATTTTCTTGCTTCTTCTAGAATCACAGATTAAATTATAAACACCACAGACAGATACAAAGATATTTAAGCTATTGCTTAGATGAGCCTTGGCCTGTATCTGGCTCTCACTATCATTTTCTATGACCTTGATCTAGTCTATCAAGGGCAAGTCAGTGAAGGGATCAAGTTGGTCAAGTCAATCATTGATCAAGTCAGCACCCCTGACTGGAGAGAGACCTGAGCATCCTCCAAGGCCTGCAAAACTCAACTCTCCTATTTTCTGTTTGTTGGCCAGAACTCAGCTGAAGTGCAAACTGTTATGAATAGTTTTTATATAAAATTATTATGAGAATGTTTATTTTAAAGTGTTCAGCTTGGTGACCTTTTGTGATGGCCATTAGGACTGGTGAATAATACATACTATTCCCACTTTTTTATTCTTCAAGGTCTCTGGGATGCATTTTGTACGAGATGTGCTGTATGAGCCATGCATTTACCGGACAGAATTTTTTGTCTGTTGTGTTAAAAATTGTGGAAGGTGAAACACCTTCTCTTCCTGATAAATATCCAAGCAAACTGAATGCTGTGCTATGCAGGTATGTTATTTTCTTGTTTAGCAGGTTTTTCAGTGAATTTGGACAATTGCTTAATTACTACATTTGGTTTTTAATGTTTCAGCATGTTAAATAAGAATCCTTCATTGAGACCAGCAGCAGCAGAGATCCTAAAATCCCCTTATATTGATGAACAACTGCAGGTATGTAAGAAGAAGCAGTAGCTGTGCACTTGCCATTTGAGTACGTATTTTGCAAAAGCAAAATGGAGGCAGGGAAAACATGGTGAGAAAAAATAATTTGATAGCTCTTGATGGGAGCATTAATCTAGGGGACTTTCAGAGTTATAGTACAAATATGACTGGGGAATGAAGCCCTCATCACTGTTCTGGTTACTCATAGTTTTAATGAAAACCAATGTCTGTTGCTCTTTTTGCCAAGGCTTCTGTGCCTGTATTATTTGGCTTTCTGAGAAAGTGGGGAAGGAAACTGCTTGGTCAGTTTTTATATTAGGATGGTAATAGCTGAAGATTCTGGGTAACTTTAACATCAAGTCTTGATGCCCCTTCTGTTTTATTTCCCTGCAGAAAATACAGTACAAGTTCACAAACATGACTGTGAAAGACAAGGCACTTAACTGTCAGAAAGAAACTGCTCCCTTTTTTGGTGCTGTGTAAGTGTTTTAAACAGTTTTCTGGGCAGTAGTATATGAAATTACAGTGTTGCCAGATAATGTCATTAACACTTGTGTCAATCTCATAGTGCTTTATATTTAGACAAATCTATTCCCTAGAAATACAAGAGCAACCACTCCCATTGGGGAGATACATAATGAAGATTTACAGAGTAAAAAAAGATTTGCAGATGAAATATTTTTGTTATGTGACTGTGTAAATTGCATTAGCATGTCCAATGTATGTTGATGTTAATTTAGTACCAATTGGTATGTAGATAATGACATTTGTTCTGAAATTTTGGGGGTTTAAGCTGTCATTTTAGTTAGGTCATCATCATTTATAGTGCTGCTATTTCTGTACCTACTAAAAATTGAATGTGAAAGCTATGTTTCCTAAATGACACCAGACTAAACACATACACACTTAAACTAATATTAAGCTAATGTATCTGTAGGATATCATTATTCTTCTCTTGTAACTTCAGTGAGAAATCAAGAGCAGTGATGTTTCTTGGCTCTTACATCAGCAGTGTCTTCACACGTGATCTCTCTTAGGCATTGAATATATATTGAATTAATTAATTGCATTAAATTACAATGCTGCAATGTTTAAAGCAAATTCCAGCATGGACATTTTCATTTTGCCTGTGTAAATTAGCTCTGCAGTTTCATGGGCACCTCGCCCTCCCCTTTGCTCCCCATCCCTGAGTTTTCTGTACAGGTTTTGTTCTGTTGGGAGCCAGCAAGAGCAAAATCTGAAGTTTGTGATCCTGTGAGGAAGCAATGAACACTCCTGTTTCTTGTTTCCTTTAAATAGTCAAGATTTTAACAGCTCTCTCACATTTGTTTTGAATAATAAGGTAACAGAATAATAATAATTGTTTTAATAAAGATTAAAACAATCCAGAACTGGCAGTGCATTTGAGGCAATAGAACTTTCACATTTGTTCTTTGGGACCTCTGCTCTTGTACAGGACCCACAGTTTTGCAGCTGTGATCGCTTTGCAGATGCTGCCAATTCTTCAGCTTGCAAGCCTCTCTTCAGGAGAGGTGACCATCTTCAGCTTTTCCAAGCAAAGTGTAGTTTGCTGTCAGAGGCAGGAAGAAAGCAGAGTACAGACAGCTGAATTCAGCACAGCAAAACCTTTTATATGTAATTTCACACAGTTTAACTGCTGTCAATGTGTCTGTAGGCTCTCATCTTTACAAATTGTGTTTTGAGTTTCTACTTGTCACTTGTATCCTCAATGTCTCTTGTTGACAGATGAGTCTCTGTTTTTTTGTGAGGCCAAAGTTTTCCACTTTGGTATGAATAGGAATCTTTGGTATAAATAGTTCATTGAACTTTGCAAGCCTTGATGTAAAATGAAACAATAAATATATATATTCAAGTTAATTCAATTAACTGTGAGAGGATTCCTTCCTTTTCAAAATACATATAGTTAATTACAGAGCTGATCCTTAGAGATATACTGTAAATAGTTTTGGGGCACTGAAATGTTTCCCAGATATTATGCCATGAACAGATAAATTATATTAATATTAATGTATTATATTAATATGAATACAGTTATATTAATATTAATTATAGTCAGTATTTAATGCTTGTTGAAATATAGATTATGAAAATCTTCAAGAAACTTTTAATTCTTGCCTTCATCTTGTGAACACTATTTTAGATTCTCTGTATGCACCAAAACCATTGTATCTGCTTTGGGGAAGCAGTATTGTTGCTTGCAGAATATATATCCAGACTTCAAATGTCCTCATGCTTCTAGAGGAGACTGGTATTTGTATTTTTTGTAAAATATATACTGTATTCTATACCTGATCCATTGTCATTAGTTTGAGTGTATTGAGTCTCATCACCTTCCAAATGGACATCATTTTCTGACAGAGCTAGCATGTGGAAGGGACATTTATGTAAATCCCAGAATCTGTAAGTATACTTTTTCAGAATCAAGTTTGTAGTCTCTAAGAGGAAGAGCAAGTAGGTCTAACTACAAACATCCTGCTTTTATGCTACTGTTAGAAGGAAATAGAAAATCTGCTTCTGTGCAGAGGTCCGGAGTTCCTATAAATCGTGAGGCAATGCTATGCAATTTATCTTGAGGTTTTAAAATTCAGGACATCAGTTAGAGAAAAAATCCCAGGAGAAGCTTTACTGTAACATATCCTCACTGGTACTACAGTGTGATTATTTTTGCCCAAGTGTTTGGAATATGCAAGAAGCCATAATCTTATAATGACTCTCAGTGTACTTAAGAAAGCATTGGCTACCTGTCACTGGTAAGTAAAATGCCAAATAATTCCTGCAATCCCAGATCTAAAGAGGCAAGCAAAATGAACTAAAAATACATGAAAAATGACACAGAGCAGAAAAGGGGAGTAGAAAAATATTAAACATAGTGAATTCCCCACATCTGCTGTCTTGCAGCCATACTCTAGTCCCAGTGAGTGTACAAACAGTTGCTTGCTGTGGTGTTCTCCTCAGCCATTACTACTTTATATTTATATTTACTTTTTCTTACCAGGAATTCTTTTTGCAATGCTAAGCAAAAAAGTTGAGTCTAGTTTCTTCTAGTAAAGGCCTTTGATGGCTTATTTTAATCTGTTCTCATTCAAGTAATAAATTTTAAATATTTAAGTAAGTATAAGGCTGTACAAGTTCTGTTTCAACTTGAATGAAAAATTGCTTTTTTCCCCATGAGATTCTTTTAATTATATTAGAGTTTTTTACAGGAGACAAGAAATATGTCTACATTATTCATACTTGAAGAGTTAGTTCCATTATAATGAATAATTGAAGTCTTCTTGTCTTTATCCTTAATCTTTCATATTTCACACTAATATTCATATCTTTTCACTATTTGAAAAACATAATGAATCTTCTCTGCTCATTTATTAAAATCCTGATTTCAAAATGATAGTCCAGAAGGATTGTTCCAATTTGTATGGTTGCAAACCTGGCCTCTTAGATTATCAGAAGTGAATTTATCTCGTAAGAGCATAAACAGTAATTTGAAATGAATACTTGGTATTATAAATACACGGTATAATAGATATATATTGTGTAAGTGAAAGGAGACTGCCAAGGCATTTCAAACTAGGGTTTAATTTTTGTTTTAATTACTGTAGGATGTGAGATAAAAACCTGAGATTAGTATCCTTTTTCTGATAAAGGAATAATATTGCTCTCCTTGCTTGATATATACAGCTGAAATACATAAGTCAATAATTCATGCCTGGCTTTCAAAGATGGTCTACGGAGACCATTTTACCTGTGAACTCTTATTATTGATTAGGACCAGAAATTCAAGAGGAGAACATTATAATTATATCTGTCATTAAGGACACATAAATATTCTCATTTATTCCAGACAGCTTGTAACAATCAATATAAAATGTACAAGCCATATTACGGTTCTCATTTAATGACTGCCTTTGTACTTGGAATGTGCCCAATAATGAAGCCCGACAGGGCAAATATTTCACTGTGCTTCAATATTTATTCTTTTAAGGAGATGAATCTGCCTTTTTCCATCCTCACCTGAAATGAATCACCCTCTTCACAAATCCAAGTTTAAATATTTCAATTTAAAGAGGCATTTGCTTTCCAAACTAAAGTCTATTTAGTCTGCTATAGTTCCAGAGACTTTCTAATTATTCCATTTGAAATGTCACTGTGTTTCAATATCCAGTAAAAATACTGAATATTTACATTTTTATATGAAGATGGATTTGCTTGCATTCAATTTCAGGCAGAAGAAAGTTCATTTGCAAACTCTGCAGGAACTTTCTGATGTTCAGAAAATGACACCGCGGGAGCGAATGCGGCTGAGGAAGTTAAATGCTGCAGATGAGAAGGCAAAGAAGTTGAAGTAAGTTGTGCCCAAACCATGCAATTTTCCCCACCCAACAGTCTAATGGGAGAGTTAGAATTGTCAAGGTAGAAATAAAAATAGTAAGGGTCTTCAGGTACTCAAAGGCAATGAGGATTTTGGATGACAATAAATCACACTAATTATTTATGTGGGAGAAAAATTAGAACATTAGCCCAAAACTGGTCCTTTGAGTACCATGGTTCTGGTTAAATAAGTATGTGAGAGGTTTTCAAATGTGTTACAATAGGAGACATTTTTTTAATGACTGTTGATGTTAAGAATTGCACAGTCTGAGGAGTCAGACATTTAGTTGCAATCCAGCTTTTGTCAATTGTTTTGGCCTCAGAGGTTTTCCAGTAGCAGTTCATAGCTCGGAGGATAGATAGTCTTGTCAAAAGATCAAATGGGGATAATGGACATGTTGTAAAGTGTATATGATTGATGGGTTTTTTCATTAAGTGAGGCATAATAAAATGTTTTGGAAAAGACTAGGTACAGTTTCTGATGGAATATGAGAAACAACTGGAAGGCTTTGTTTGGGGTTTTTTAATAAAACCCAGAATATACTGTTTTGATGACACATTTGAAGCAAAGAACTAAGACCTTCATGTCCTTTTGGAAAGCGTGTCTGAAGAACGCTTCTGTCTGACTGGCATACATAAATTCATTCTCATTTAAAAAACCCCTTTCCTTGAACTGAAGCCACTGTATAAAATGTATTAAATTTAACAGCTCTTCTGCATGGTGCTTTTGGTAATATGGTAGGCAATTCTTGTACTAATAAGAAACTTGTAAATAGGAAGTCTGTCTCTTTCACTTTTTAAAAATTAATGGAGATCAGGAAATAATACTAATTGCAAGATTGTTCTGGTTTGTTTTTCATTTTCATTGCTTTCTTGCATTTTGATGTCTTCTGATGAGATTTTCATGTTATTTTTTCCTCCAAAACCAAAATTAAATATATTTGTTTTGTAATATGAAGGCAGCATTAATATTCAGACCTTGTTGTTAGTCATGAATCTTTAAAATGGATCAACATTGAGCTCTAGATCATTACCAGCTGACTCTGTCTGAAAATATTGGGAGCACAGACCTGCAATGATACCTTCCCAAACTGGACATCTGCATCCAGCAGTGCAAATCCAGAGATGGGTGGGAAGGGAATGTATTAATGGAAGCTGGAAAGACTGCTTAATGTAACACCTGTCTTAAGTGGTTCCACACAGAAACCCACAGTTACCAGCTGTCCCCCAGAGGAAGAGTTCATAGCACACAAATGTTGCGTGCCTGCCTACAGCTGAAAGGCCCCTGCACCACTTGGTGGAATAAAGCCCGGAGTAATTAAGACCCTTGGAAGAACTAGAAAAGAGTGGGACTAATAATTTACTATTTCTTAATTATGTTATGCAAGTTGTGAAGGTAAAATATAATAGGGTTTGGAAATAAGGTCTGAAATCTCTTTTTGTATTCATTAAAACCTGAGTAGATTCCATGAATATTTCGCAACATGAAAATCTCAGTACAGAATTTGTTTTCCCTTGTCTGCTTTTAGAATATCCCTTTGTGCATGCCCTGACATCACATTCTAAAATACAAGTGTTCTGTATTTACAGGCAGCTGGCAGAAGAAAAATATCAAGAAAATATCAAAAGAATGCAAGAATTCAGGTCCCGTAATTTTCAGCAGCTGAATGTCAATGTCCTACATGTAAGTATGGGCTGTTGTTTTGAAGGTCTCATTTATGTGCACACATAGCACTTTTCTGTTGTAAAGTGTATAGTGTATAGTATAGTTCTGTAAAAGTGTATAGCACTTTTCTGTTTCCCACATGGTTTCTTTAGCACTAGAAGCACAGGCCTATTCTGAGACTAATAACTGCATCAAAATCTGGACTGCTTAGTTGAGGCTGTTGATATGTGATGAGGCAAAGTACATTCAGTTATTCAGATATGGTTCAACAAGCTCTCTATTCCTTGCACAGTTTTATTTTTTAACTCACCTTTTCTTAATTTGCCCTTACATCTAAATCTGCTCTCTGAAATGTTTTTACTGACCATATGACATCAGAGTTCAAAATACTTTTCAAGATGTTTAGAATTTGAATCCTTTAAACATTTTATACTTGGTGTGGCTGAAGGTTCTTTTCATTTGGTTAAGCATATTAACACTTCAACTGGCTTTCTAGTAAGAATGAAGCCTTGGAATGACTCCCAGAATAAGTTGTCCTTTGCTTTTAAGCAATCTGCAGCAGAAGATGAGCCAGTTCAATTCTAGCACCACATCCTATTGTAGAAAGAAAAGGGTCAGTTTGGAAATAGTTGGTGAATGCATCACAGAAATAATTTTTTGTGTGCTTTTTATTCTATCTTTTGTTTTGCATGTCCTCTGCTTTCTGTTTTCCATTGTGTCTAGAGAAAAAAAGTATTTTAAACCTGCTTCTTCTTATGGCTGAGTCACTACTGATCATTTACAAAAATGTTAGGATTTTGTTTTAGTATTTGCCTAATACAACTCCCAGGAATTGTGTAAATCGGAGCAACCATTATGTTGTGATCCTGCTGAAAGCTCTGTTCCTGTTTCTCCATACTGCTTCATCATTTGACTAAGGAATCTGATGAGCAGACTTCAAAATGCCTCATTCATTCTCAGCCAGCCACTATGGGCAGCTATGTGTCCACAGGACAGGATGAACCAAGAGGGAATGAGACAAGTGAACTTGGCATGTCTGAACTTACAGATCATGGTAAGAATTCAAAATCTGATGTCAAAATGAAAATTCTTATGAAGAAAGATTAGCCCCTTGTAATTCATATGTGGTGGGGAAACTGCAGTTTTCAAAGTAGTCAGATTTGTAAAGTTGTCAAAAAACAGTGAAGAGAGAGAAGGAAATGAATCTGGGTGAATGTATGTACAGCAGATGTATAGCAAGGTTATGTGGCAGGAGGTCTGTGCTCCCAAAGTTTGTGACCTGTGAGCAGAGATAGAGGTTGAATGTACTTCCTCCGAAGGAGATGCTGAATTAGAAGGAAATAGCTTAAACCTTCCACATATGAAAGGATTGGCATTAGAAAAGCATTTCCTAACTCATCTCTCCAGTGAAAAAAGGAGTACAAGAATTCAAGTTTGCACCTTTAGTACACTTCGATGCCCATTTCTCTATCTATTACAATGACAGAAGCAGATGGAAACTCTTTAAACTCTGCTTATCTATATTGTCCACAAATACTTGACTATTGTCTAAAGAATATGAAGTACTATATAACATGTATTTTTCTGTTATGGACAAAAAGTAGTCAAGCTTTTTGGAAAGCTTCAGACTGTGGAAATCTTGTGGGTAATGCAGAGAATATTTTTAAGATGACATTTATATGGTTTTGTCTACGATGTTCTGGAGTAGTGTCCTACTTATATATTTCAAAAACATTGTGTGAACACTATTATGGTGAAAGATTTTTAATCAGATTAAAATCTTGCAAATATGCATCAATATACTTTAAAGTAGGAAGACTACTTTTCTCTAATAGCACTGCCTTTTAATGTTGGTTTATGCGCATCTGTGAAAGTATAGGTCACTAAATTAATGGCATCGGAATCAGTTTGCAGGTGATGGAGGTGTTTTGGGGTTTTTTAATAGCAAATGGCTATTTTTTTTCTTTCAATGTACCCTCATTTGTGTCTGTGTGGTTGGCTTTCTGTTTCACAGCATGAGGAGAGATAGATGACCTGTGTAGGAGAGAACCCATCTTCTAGAAATACATCCTGGGGAGAGGGTGGGGAAACGTGCAAAGGGAGGACTGAGAGAAAGCAGTAAATGTGGGTGAGAGATGGGCTGGAAGAAGCATACAAAGACTCCTAAATAGAAACAGAACAACATGCTTGGAAGGAAAGAAACTGATTTTTCTACCTTTAGAGGTCATTAAGCCGTTAAACTATAATGACAGGAATGACATGCATTTGTATCTGTGATGCAAAAGCTGGGTCGGTCCATTGTACAAAACCAAATTCATGTTTAATTGCTTGTGCCAGAGTCTCTGACGGAGGAGTGGTGGGTTCATGACAAAAAAAGAGTTACGGATAAGCAAGAGAAATTACATGGTTTCTTTTCTTTGCTTTGTGAATACCTTGTTATTCCTGAAGCTGATGTCAAAGCTTGTTCTTACTCTATTCAGTATTCATGCTCTTCTTTTCTTTAAGCATTTTAGTGCAACCAAGCATATCCTACATGTCTAATTATTAAGTTATTAATTGCACCTTTGCATTTGAAAATGTAGAAACTGTTCCAGCTATTGATTTTACAACAGAATTTAGTTATTGATATATACAAGAATAAAAGAAAAAAAACAAACTAGAAGCAAGGCTATAAAATGGTTTTAGCAAGTTGTCTTACATGTTAATTAATCTTGCTGACCCTTATTACATTAGCAGAAGTTAGCCTGTGAAAACCAGACTAACAAGCTCCCTAGTTACAACTAATCACTCAGAAAGGAGAGAAAAGTCAGGAGCAACTTTTAAATTACCAGGGCAGACCTAAAAAAATCCTCTCCACAAAAGCTGATGAGGAATAGTAGCCCAGCCCCAGCAGGTGTGGAGGAAAGTTCAGAGTATCTGTGGCTCATAGCCTGCAGTCCTTCTAAAATTTGCAATGTGAGCTAAAGAGAAGAGTAGGGTTTGGAAGATTGAAAGACCAAGCTATTAAAGGATTAAGGAAAGAAATAAAGAATAAAACACCTTGCACTCCTCTTTCGGTGAAAATTATCTAAACCATTATGAATCACAGTTGTATGTCATTGTGGAAGGTGTCAAATACAAAGCTTAAGATTCAGCTCTAGTAAGTAGTTTTGAATACTGTGGCATCTTGAGTCAGATTCAGTAGTGGTAGTTACACTTAACTGAAAGTTGGGAAAAACAAGGCAGTGTAGTTAGATAAACAAAACCTACTATGGCAGTTTGGGGTTTTGGACTTCACAGTGGACAAAATTTAGCAATGGCAAAAGCATTCAACTGCTATAGACTTCCCTGGGAAGTTTAAGCTTTTCTCCATGTTTGTTTTATGTAATCAGCAATGAAATTCTGGACATTTTTTCTTCTAAGTCTTAGCCTTGCACACTTGAGAGACATTTGAAAGAGTTCTTTGAGATCACCTACATCTGACCAATTTGTTAGTCTTCAAGCACATATATTTTCTGGAATATGAATGATGTGAGTGGACCCTGTGGTTTTGATGTGGAGATGAACTCATTAAACTATAGAAAAGCTTCCTTAGGACTGTTTACAGCTGATACAAGTTCTTGAGAATCTTCTAAGAAATTATCAGATTTGTATTCCAAAAGAGAAATGTTTCAGGCAATGTAAATACTGTTTCTTTAGCATTTTTAAGATGCATTGCCTTATTGCCTAGCAGCTTAAGAACTTCTCTCCTCCTGTGTATAAACCTCTATAAACTTCTATATTGTTCATATGTTTTAACATTGGTCACTTTTAGCATACCTGGACCTTCCATCCTTATTGTTTCCTTAAGAAGCTTCCTAGTTCTTACCTCAGGATTTATAACAGATTATTTTGGTTTTAATGTCCTGAGACTTGACCTCACAACTCTGTTCTTTGAGTTTCCTCATTTTCCGTTATTCCACTTCTCAGGGTCATCTGGTGTTTGTTCTTAATATTATCCTGGTTCTGGGACTTGGTCTCTCCAGCTGGCATGCATGCTAGAACAAAGGAGCCTTTTGGTTTGGCTATTAATTTTCTCCACACTGCAGATTTTCAGTGAGGTGGGTGGGGTAACATTACTTGCAATAGTGAAGATTTAAAAATGCGCTTTAAATTTCTGTTTCTCTGAAGGTACTATAATAAGTTTCTGAACAGTTTTGCATCTTTAATCATCCTATCTAAAGTAAACAAATATTCTTCTTATATGTAAAAAGACAGACAATGGACTGGCTAAGAAAGACCTAGAAAAAAATTGCTTCTGTGATTACTGTTAGCCATATTAAGTAAGTAACTGAAGTATGTTGATTGTATCATTGGAACAGTAAATGTTTTTACTGTACTGTTTCAGCTAGTTAGACCACTAACGTGTTCCTTAGAATACTAAACCTTTGTAAATAGAAGAAAATTAAAAGTATTTTTGCTCATTTGCAAGTTTTTTATGTAATAGTTTTAATCTGCATTAAGTTTTTAGATTGGTTAATTGAAAACAAAAATTATATTTTGCTATTGAGATATTTATGGAAAGATATTTTATAGTTGTGTTTAATATTAGTTGCAAAATGTTGATATGTCTGTCTTATGTGTCCAGGAGTTTATGGAATTGTCATCATACAAATAATTTAACTCTATGGCAGACAGTGCAGTTAAGAATATAAGAATATATTGTACTAGGAATAATTTTGGATTACTATAGATATCTTTGTGTCTCTTCCATCTTCAACTTCTCCAAGTACACACAAGAGACAAAGGAGCTGAAACAAGATTTGTATAGAGATAGTAAATAGAAGCATGGAGCCACTGTCAGCATTAAATTCAAATATTTGTGTTGAACATATATATATTTATACATCTGTACACTTCATTTGCTTTAAATGAGCAGTGCAAAATGGAATTGCTAATGATTAGCATTAGGAATGCCTAATGATTAATAACTGAATTCCCTTAATATTTTTATTTGGATGTTTTGTTTTCTGCTTCATTTCTTCAGTTCGTTTTATTGATTAATTATTTCTGAATGTTAAAAAGCATATTTTGCAAGTCATGGCAATGATGCAGGAATGAGCAATGCAAAATATGTCAGGATAAACTTGTACCTATGTTTCCTGTTCTTGCTGAGGGTTACCTATAAAGTAAATTATTCATCTTCTCTTGTTATCGTCAAAAAGAAAAGCCACTTAGCAATAAATTGCTTAACATCACACACCCACACACTCCCCCTGTCTCTTAACCAATTTTTTATAGAAGCTGTCTCCATTTGGACTAGGACAGGTAGGTCAGTGTATATTTTTCTGGAGATTACTGCATTTTCAGTGCATATACTTATCTTTCAATTATGGGTTTGTGAAAATACTGGTGAGGCAAATTATATTGTAGTCCTGGCAACCAGAGGTCAGTTCATCTAATAGAAAAAGAAAAAAACCCAAACAACAAAGCTGTGAGAAAGAACTCTGCATATTAAACTGCTCATTTCCATTAATGATAATGACTGCAGCTGGAATGAAATAATTAATTTTATAAAACATAAGCAAAATATTATCAACAAGATAATAGAACCATCCATGACCCTCAACCCTGCCTGGTTTTTATGGATGAATCTGGTCAGTGTCTTCCTCTGCCTGTTAGAACAGGGCAGTTCCAGCTGGGCAGGTTCATCACATGTTTAATGATATGACCTCCTTCTAAAAAGCTACTGGAACCATCACAAAAGTAATGCATTGCTTCCTAATAGAGCATTATAATTCATCTTTGTCTTCTAATGTACCTGACTGAGCTTGTCATCCACTTTTCTGATTCAAAAAGAATAACCAGAGAAGCAGATACCCCCTTTTCCAGAGTACTGGGTATTGGCATTTTGGGTTGCAGAAAGTCATCTTTGCGCTAGATTTTCCACTGATAGACCACCTCATCTTTTTTTGTGTGGGCTACTACACACTGGACTAGGTAATGGCAGATCTCTCACTGCATCACATTAATTACTTGGGTGCAGGTAGTTTCACCTTGGTTGCAGTGTCTTCTAGTGAAGCCAGATTTTACAGC